TGTGTCTATGTGTATGTGAGAGAGAGGAGTCACTCAAACACAAGCCACTCTTCCAGGGCCAGGTACAATGCAGTATAGGCCAAGGCAGTAAATTACTTTTTGTCAAAGCTCAGATTTCTTCCTCCAGTGATCAGTGTTAATGGTAGCTCTTGTGTGTGCCTCAAGAAAAGACAATACTCTCTGTGCATATTGAGATAAGAAGCTCTTCTGCCACTTAACACAGCTGTAGCCCTTTGGTTTTGTGCCAGTTTCAAAGCAGTAGAATAATTAGTCTAATCCTGTTTCATGACACTGTCGTGAAGAAAAATGTATGCAGTGTAGTTATAGTGTTGCTGGTCCCAGGATATGAGAGAGACAAGGGGGGTGAGGTCATATTGTTTACTGGACCAACATCTGTTGGCAAGAGAGACAAGCTTTTCAGGCACACACAGCTCTTCTCCACCTCTGGGAAAGGTACTCTTAGCAGTGGAACAGATTGCTTAACATAACTAGTTAGCACATATTGTAAGGGACCATTCAGGGTCTGTTAACACCTCTGCAGTCATAGGACAAAAAAAGGGGGGAGGTGTTAGAGGATAACTGGTTGTTGTAATAAGTTCAGTGTCTCTGTTCAGTTTGTGATTTTTGCTGTCTAGCAGAATTATAAATTTACACTCTTGGGCTCATCTTTTGAAAGCGCTATGCAGGTTTCCTTTGAGGATGAGGACCGATAAGTGAGATTTAGACCAGGGCTACGTCTACACTGGCATGAATTTCCGAAAATGCTTTTAAGGGAAAAGTTTTCCGTTAAAAGCATTTTCAGAAAAGCGCATCTAGATTGGCAGGATGCTTTTCCGCAAAAGCACTTTTTGCGGAAAAGCATCCGTGGCCAATCTAGATGCGGTTTTCCGCAAAAAAGCCCCGATCACCATTTTCACGATCGGTGCTTTTTTGCGGAAAACACTACTGTGCTTTCTACACTGGCCCTTTTGCGCAAAAGTCTTTTGGAAAAAGACTTTTGCCCGAACGGGAGCAGCATAGTTTTTCCGGAAAAGCACTGATGATTTTACATGAGATCGTCAGTGCTTTTCCAGAAATTCAAGTGGCCAGTGTAGACAGCTGGCAAGTTTTTCCGCAAAAGCAGATGATTTTGTGGAAAAATTTGCCAGTCTAGACACAGCCCAGGTGTATATTACAGACCCATAACAGTATAACTACTGCAGAGAGGTGTGAAAAGTCCACAAAACTCCCACAGCTCCCTCCATGCACACTGTGTCAATAGGAATGCTTCTCTCCCTGCTAAGGAG